TGCGGCTCCTGTCCAGGATGCGGCTCCTGTCCAGGATGCGGCTCCTGCCCAGGTTGCGGCTCCTGTCCAGGATGCGGCTCCTGTCCGGGATGCGGCTCCTGCCCGGGATGCGGCTCCTGTCCAGGTTGCTGCTGCCCCTGCTGTGGTTGTGACTCCTGCCCCAGCTGTGACTCCTGCCCCAACTGCTGCTGCTGCTGCCCCGATGGCTGCTGCCCCCCGAACTGCGACTGCTGCTGCCAGCTGTGCTGCTGCCTCCCACGCCTGCTGTGCCAGCTGCCCAAAATGATCGGCTGCCCCGTAAACATCAAGAGGTTCCTGATCGTCCTGGTGATTGTAGGTCTTGTGGTGCTGGTTGTCGTGGGGGCTCTGCTGATGGGGCTCTACATCACCCAGGCGCATACAGAGGCTGTAAGTAGGGGAGCGCTGGACCCCAGGGGACCTGGGCTGGGGAGGGGCTTTCCTTCCCTGGGGCTGGGCTAGCTGTGTTCTGGGGCTGCCTTGCACCAGCTCAAGAGAGCGGGTGGCTACATTTTCAGGGATCTTGTGAGCTGTTTAAAAGCAAAGCTGATCGAGGTACCTTCTTCCATATGTGGTGGCAATGCCCGGAAGGCCAAAAATATTGGACCAAAATACGGAGTTGGTTACAAGAAATAATGGAAGACCAGACAGAGTTCAAACCTGAACTGTTCCTTTTAGGAATAATAAAGGGGAAATATAGTAAATAAAGATTAAATACGTGATACTACACATAACGACAGCAGCGAGGATTGCATTCGCACAATGTTGGAAGCGAGATAGAATGCCCCCGGAGGGATTAGTAATTCAAAAGATTTTAGATTGTGCTGAAATGGATGAACTCACACTAGAGCTAAATTATAAGGAAAGGTCAAAGTATTATGCGGTTTGGGACAATTGGTACAAATGGCTGAATAGTAGAAATAAGAATAATAGAGACAAGAAAATCATAGATAAATGTATATGAATGTATGGAGATTTGTATGTGTAATAATGATGTCACAGTATCGTTAAAGATGAGAATAAGGTTTGTAAAACATGAAAAAACACAATAAAAATGAATAAAAATAAAAGCAAAGCTGTGCCAAATCCAACTCTCTACAGCAAGCGGTGCAGAGACAACAGCACAGCTGGTTCTTCAGCATTTACCAACACACCCTTAGATTCTCCCATTATCACAGTTCAGGTACATGTACAAATTGCTCTCCATCTGGTTTGTTCCTTAAAAAAAACCCTGAAATAATATCACAACCACAACAATTAACAATAGCAGCCCCCTCTAACTTTCCAATCTTCCCAGACAATAAGCTACCCATTAGAAACATTGCCTGTTGTGGCCTGTCGGCCGCCGGCCCCTCCAACGTCCAAATCAGAGGAGGAGGAGGAGGTGGTGTGGGAGTCAGGGTCAGCATCAGAGCAACCTGAGAGCTCCAAGGGGAAAGAGGGAATGGAGCTGGCAGAGAGAGAGAGAGAGAGAGAGAGAGAGAGAGAGAGAGAGAGAAAGAGATGAAGCCTGAGCTGTCCATCAGCCCTCAGATGGAGAGTCAACAGGTCTGGAGGTGGCTGATGAGGAAGAGGAGGAACAGCTGGGTCCAGTGCCTGACACACAGATGTGCAGAAGGCAGAGGAGAGGAGAGCAGTGGAAATCTATGGGCCGGTCCTTGGGACGGAAGAGCCACTGCTGCTAACAAAGCTCCCCCTAGCTCTGGGGATAAAAGGCAGGGGGCAGAGTTGAATAGATGTGGCAGACAACTATTCATCTGCCTTCTGGATGAACTTGCTAACTTTCTGAAAGAGAGAAAAATTTTGCCAGGGCTGCCAGCTCTCCTAATAAGGGAATCGTTGATTTAACTACCGAGGGTTTGTCGTGTTCAGGGAGCTGGGTCAAAACACCGCCAAGAGGAAATCAGGCACCACCAGGGTTGGCTCCTCTCTCCTGTCAGGTCTCGAATCACCTCCCACCTGATTTAACGCTCTAGTAATTGTTGGTGCAAGCAAGCCGAAAGGTATCTCTTTCTACTCCGCGCAGCTTCTGCACATGACCGTTGGCGAGTTGGATGGAAGAGAATCCCAGCTGAAGTTCTCCATGGATAAGGAAGAAGTAGCCACTTACTATGTAGATGACGGGATCCACAACCCAGCCACAATCATTTATGATTTTGCCAAGGTGAGTGGCAGCTGGGGAAGAAAGACAGAAACCCAGGTACTACCTGGATGAACAGTCAACCCAACGGAGGAATGTTAGGACCTTTTAATAGCAAACCCACTGCAGCTCTCACAAAGACCAGCACTGCAGTATTAGATGCTAAAAAGATGCACATAAACCATGTTTTACCAAGGGCAACGTAACGTTCGGGCAAATTTGATGGTGAACGTTTACAATCAGCGTATGTGCTACAGAAATGTACTGCAAGGAGTAAACTGAGAGTAAATGAATCTCAATGCCTTGTTCACAGCTGCTGATTGGCTACAAGCCTGAACATCAAGAAGCCTGTTACCTTGCCAGGATGGATAAGGAAAACATCCAAGGCCTAGACACCCTCCTCAAGGAATTCCAGGTAAGGATGGAACCTTGACAGGTAAAGATGGGACCCACAGGTGAAGCAAAGGCTCCGCGATAACACAGCAACCATCAGCAGTAATGGAGAGGAACTCAGTTAGTTTGCAGTGTGGAAAAAGGTAATGATTGTCCCACAGAATCCTGACCAGGGAGCTGTGGGAGGGTCCTACCTGCTTAGCTTTTCTCCTTTTCAACAAAAGGAAAGGGTGGGTCCAGCTATGTTGTCATCTCTTGTAGGCCAAGTTGTCGGTCGCGCATCTCATGCCAAAGGGGAAAGAGAAAGAGCAAGAAGAAGAATTCCTCACATCCCAGGTGGATCGTTCGAACCTGGGAACCACCATTAACATCCTGTGCAAACACATCCCCATCTTCTACACTTAGGTGAGTAGCAGACAAGGGCGTTGGATCCAGGTATAATTAAAATCTCAGAAGATCCAAGGTCAACCAGGAACACTTGTCTGTAGCTACAGGCTTACACACACACACACAAGTACTTATCCTGCTGCTTTTCAGGTATGCTGGACAGGAATTCCCGTAGTTCAGAGCAGTGATGGGATTCCAATAATTTAACAACCGGTTCTCCGCTCTAATGATTTCTTCGACAACCAGCTCACCAAACTCCTCAGAAGGTTAACAACCAGTTCTTGTGAACCGGTACGAACCGGCTGAATCCCACCACTGGTTCAGAGGCACTCAAATCATATCGCTACTTGCTGAACTTTATCCAACACATCTAGCAGATGCCAGCCCTAATTCCTGGGTCCACAATGGAGTTAGAATAGAATACAGAGTTGGAAGGGACCTTAGAGGTCTTCTAGTCCAACCCCCTGCCTAAGCAGGAAGCCCTACATCACTTCAGACAAATGGCTATCCAACATCTTCTTAAAAGCTTCTCGGTGTTGGAGCATCCACAACTTCTGGAGGCAAGTTTTTCCACTGATTAATTGTTCTAATTGTAAGGAAGTTTCTCCTTAGTTCTAGGTCGCTTCCCTCCTTGATTAGTTTCCACCCGTTGCTTCTTCTCCTGCCTTCTGGTGCTTTGGAGGATAGCTTGACTCCCTCTTCTTTGGGGCAGGCCCTCAAATATCGGAAGACTGCTATCATGTCTCCCCTAGTCCTTCTTTTCACTAGACTAGACAGCTGGCTGAGGAATTCTGGGAGTTGAAGTCCAGAAGTCTTAAAGTTACCAAGTTTGGGGACCCCCAGTCTAGATGATTCCTGGCTACCACCTATGGTAATGTTTTCTTCCTTTTCCTCCTCTTCTCCTTCCAGGTAGAAACCTGGATTGATGGTCATCCATGGTGAGCATGGTAGGAGGAAGCTAGTGGACATCACAGTGTCAGCCTACAAATGAAGCCTACAAATGTTGAAATTCTTTCCTCAGAAACTATACTGCGGTGACGCCTGCTGTCCCTACTTTTATTACGACTCTGTTCCCGACCCCCTTGGAGATAATGGGTGACAAAACCTAACAGATTATATGTAGCTTGTGCCTATGACTTGGAATACTAAATAATTACTAATCAAAATATGTAACGCCTTATGCAACTTAGTACAAAATTCTAATAAAACAATTTGACACAAAATGAGTCTCTGTATTTCTAAACACACACACGCACACACATGAGTCGTGGTGGCGTAGTGGTTAGAATGCAGCACTGCAGGCTTCTTCTGCTGACTGCCGGCTGACTGCAATTTGACAGTTCGATTCCCACCAGGCTCAAGGTTGATTCCGTCTTCCATCCTTCCCAGGCCAGTAAAATGTGGTCTCAGGTTGTTTGGGAGCAAGAGGCTGACTCTGTAAACTGCTTAGAGAGGGCAGCAAAGCACTGTGAAGCGATATATAAGTCTAAGTGCTATTGCTAATGCTACACACACACACACACACTTTAAATAAGTAAATAAAGTTTAATAACAGTCTCCCTCAAGCTTTCCTTACTCCACCAAAAGTGTGGCATTGAAATGAGGACAATCTTATGGAAGTATGGAAGTCAAAAGGTAATATCGGTTCAGATCTGTGGTTAGCTCAAAGTGTCTTTTAATCCCTATTTGTGGTTAACCATGTTACCCAAGTCCAAAATGGCCGAAAACTAGGACTTTATCTTATGGATATATATGCGGTTCTGGAACCACCTAAGGAACTTTTGGTTAAGGAAACAGATAATTCCTCTGAACTCAGTGTGAAAATCGTTTCCACAATAGTCCATAGTTGGCTACAAAAACATCAACCTGTCCTTGAATGTGCATTTGTGGGCTTCTACCTCGTTCTGCCTTTAGAGGGCAGCCTTGTACAGATCATTTGCCCGCGAACTCTCTTGGATTTCTGTACTCCCCACAAAAGTTGAAACTCTTACAACACAGATACTATATAGTAGTTTGTCAATGTACTCCTTGCATTCAGAACATGCTTTTTACATAAGGATTGCTTTAAATTCACTGTTGTGAATTTAACACACTGTTGTGTGTGTGTCCATTGAGGGATTTTGTCCTCCACCTCTAGGAATAAAAGCTTAGATAACATGCGCCAATTAAAGGCTGAATTTGGATTGGCCATGGCAGTGGTGAGATTCAAATTATTTTACTACCAGTTCTGTGGCCATGGCTTGGTGGACGTGGTGTGGCTTTTTTGGTGTAGCTTTGTGGGCGTTGCAGGGGAAGGTTACTGCAAAATCCCGTTCCCTCCACACTGCACACACCTGCTTTCCAGCTCCGTTCTCCTGTGCAGGGCAACCAAAGAAGACCCAGCTGATCAGCTGGGACTCAGTGAGAGGTAGAGAAGAGGTTGAGGTTAGCGGGGCCAGTCAGAGGTGGGATTGGCCGGTTCTCCCAACTACTCAACATTTCCGCTACCGGTTCTCCAGAACTGGTCAGAACCTGCTGAATACCACTCCTGGGCCAGGGAAGAGGACCGTTTATATATACAGGAAACATGTTTTTCCACAATAACTGCAGAACCAGAGCAAACAGAACTTTTTATTATTGTGAGGTTGTTTTTTTTCACACCAAGCTATTTATGCCTTTCAAAATAGCTAAACAAAATATACTGCCAGATACAAATATTGGCTAATATTTTCCTTTCCACCTAACATTTTGCAGGCCACCTGTACAAAAAAAACTGGTTGAGGTCGAAGTCAGAGAATAGTTTAAAAATCCATTCTATTAATATTACTACTATATCACAAGTACTATACTATACAAATACTACTGTATATCACCGAACCGTTGTTACACCGATTGAATCACACCGCTGCCCGCAAAGCTGCTGTTTGTAGTGAGACGGGATCTTACATTCAACTTTACACTTGAGGCAAGAAAAATAAATATTTATTGGTCACCCACTCGGGCTTGAACTGCACTCAGTTATATTCGGGGTGCTTTCAACCCGTCGGCCTTTCCACTCCAGCACCCCGTGTCAACACTCGAAAAGGCACAAGGAAGCGAACTCTTCACCACTGCAAAAAAAACCAAAAATGGCAAGATACGCAACTCTTGGCCAAGCCGGGAGGCCCCCACAGCCCATTCTTAGCTCTGGAAGAGGGATGTGGTGAGGCCACACACTAGCAGGGAGAAGGCCGGGAGGCTGGGCCCCTTCAAGGCCCGGCTGTGGACTTGGCCTTTCACCATCACCGCCGAGGAATTGAGGCCCTTCTCTCTGCCCCCCCAAGGGGAGCCATGCCCTCTGTGGCCAGAGTGGGACTTGCCGAGAGAATTCAAGCTGTATCCCATCGCTGCACCCACTGCGGCCAGCCCGGCTATTTTCGCCCCGTGGCCACCTCCGCTTTGACTCTGTTTGCTGCTGCTCTTTGGCGTTGAGTTCGCATCTCCTTTGCTCGCGCCTCCTCTTCTACCTGCCCTGCGGGAAGAAGCAGCGCCGCTGAAAAGGACGAGTAGCAGCAACACGATGCAGTAGCAGGTAATCCAGCCGTACCTCATGGTGGTGCTTCTCCTGGAACAGAAAGACCGAGAGATCAGGGTTCTCTGCCCGGTTGCTGGGTGGGCGTGGCCATGGTGGGTGTGGCCTAGTCAGTCTCCTGCACCGTGGTGGGGAGGGGGGCGTTTTTGCCCTCCCCGGGCTCCCGAGGCTCTCTGGAAGCCGCAAACAGGCCCATTTCCGGCATTCCTGAACTTCCGGGAGGCCCGTTTGTTTGCCCGCCATGCGCGCCTTGCACTTCCTGGCATCCAAAATGGGCGTGGAGACTCCTAGGAGGGGCAGGGAGGGGTGGGATTTGGGGGGTTCTCCAAAACGCGCAGAATCTTAGCTAGGGGACTCTCCCGAACCCCTGCGAACCGCCAGCAGCACCCCTGCAAGGGATTGACGTGGCTTCTCGGCTGGCACTGGGGTGGCGGAACCGCCTGGAAGCTTCTGGAAATTCTGTGCTCTTTGACTCTTCTGGACCTCTGAATTCTGCACTCTGAATGTCCTTTGGGCACCTGCAGGAGTTTACCTCTTTTGCATCAATAGTGCCCTCTCGGGAACTGTGGGCTAAAAATGGGGTCTGTGGTCTAATCTGGGGGTCCCCGATCTGTGGGCTGCAGCCTATTCGCCACTGGACTGCGGGAGTGACGGGCCGTTGTATGTGCACACAGGTGTGAACTCAGCCCCACTCACATGAGCAAAGGAACTTGGTGTTGGCAAAGGGACAAGAAAAGATATTTGCAACAGTGATGGGATCCAAAAGATTTTACTACCGGTTCTGTGGGCGTGGCTTGGTGGGCGTGGCAGGGGAAGGATACTGCAAAACCTCCATTCCCTCCCCATCCTACCGACCTGCTTTCCAGCTCCGTTCTCCCATGCAGGGCAACCAAAGGAGACCCAGCCAATCAGCTGGGACTCAATGGGAGGCAGAGAATAGGGGGGGGGGGGGCAGTCAGACATCCTATTGGCCAGTTCTCCAAACTACTCCACATTTCTGCTACCAGTTCTCCAGAACTGGTCAGAACCTGCTGGATACCCACCTCTGGTTTGCAGTCAGCGGGCAACCCTGGCAGACAGAGGAACTGGGGAAGCGGCAGGGATGAGGAGGGCAGTAAACTAGGAAGCGCCACAAGGGTCTGAAGCTGATAATCTTTCTGCCAAAGGGCCAAATTGTTAGGTAAGAAACCTACAAACGAGACCGCACCATCTAGAAGTCTATTTTTACTTCACTGATTATAACATGGGAAATCTGCGCTGGCAAAGGTAGTTGATATATATATATCGCCATAGTAGTGGAGGTTCCATTTTTATTTGTTATTTTATCTCGGTTATGCAATTATTTTATCTCACCTCTTTGATTTCACTTGAGAGCTGTAATTTTGTCAAACGTTGCTGCTCGTTGGCCAAATAAAGCACCAATTTTGATTCCGAAAGCAAACAGGCAGCCAGTTGGCTAATCCAGAACTGCCCAGCTGGGCTTTTTCCCTGAAGGAAAGGTCTTGCTCAGCACAAATTCAGGACTCGGGACACTGCAGAGCCGAAACTTCTGGGAACTGGGAACACAAAAGGGATGGAGAACGGTGTGCACTCATCCATCCCTACACACACACACACACACACACACACCTCAGCACATCCCCTGGTGCCCTTGCCCCTCACATGACTGCTTTGTGCCTCGTCCGAGTGCCAGGAGCAAAGGCCGTTTGCAGCAGCTGCTATCGAGAGCCAGGAAAAAGGTGAGTTTGGGATGCAAATTCTTGCTGCAGTGCCCACAGCAAAATTACAAGAAGCCTGGAGCCAAAATGTTGAGTGTCCTTCTAATTGAGGGAGAGGAAGGAGAACTGTTCTTCTCGCCTCGTTTTTTTCCATCTCGATTAAAATCATTAAATCATTAAAATCTCGATTAAAATCAGCGGAAATAAAATAGATGGAATCCTTATTCCAAGCAGCACCTGAACGCTTAGAACGGAGGCCCCCAACCGTGGCAACTTTAAGACTTGTGGACTTCAAAAGGTGTAAGGAATTCCAATATATTATATTCCATATAATAAGTGCAGCAAGAATAGCCTTTGTCCAGAATTGGAAAAGTGACAGCTTTCCCTCCGATATTATGACAATAAAAAAAAGGTTTTAGAATGTGCAGAAACGGATGGGCTTTCAATGGAAACGAAGGAGGAAGAAGAGAGGGTACCGTGGAAATTTCGAATTTATGGTATAATTGGTTGCAAGGTAGACACAAAATGAGAGACGAATGAAAGGTGAAATAATATGAGATGAAATAATATGGCATGAATAAGCATAAGTATGTATAATTATGCATAGATATGTAAATAATTACGTAAATGTATGCAAATATGATATAAATCGAATGTAAAATAATTGTAATAATATTGAGTAATATTCTATATACTTAAGAATATGTCAAAGTGAGTGAATGCTACTAGAAATGCGCTGCAATGAATCTAAATATGTTTTTCATTGTTTTTCATTGTAGAGTTTGTTTAATAAAGATTATTTTAAACAAACAAACAAAAAAGACTGGTGGACTTCAACTTCCAGAATTCTCCAGCCAGCTATGCTGGAGTTGAAGTCCACAAGTCTCGAGCGTTGCCAAGTTTGGAGACTTCGGATCAAGAGCTTACACCGGCCCAGCGTCCG